CCCGCCCTGATTCAGGATCTTGAAGATTGCACTTCGGAGTGGATGACTGCCTCTGAGGAGTGCCATGACCCCGGAAATGGGGAAGGGCTTAAGCACGCCTGCCTTCTGGAAATGATGGTATTTTTAGCACCAGAATAGTTTAAAGCAGATTTAAATGCATAGTGGATAATGATAACTTTCACAGCTGAGTGATCTCAGAGGACATCTGTTCGGATGCTATTCAAATACGCTCTGACAGGCTTGGTATGTTTATTTTCCTTTTGACAGTGATAAGTGGTGGACGGGGAGAGCGAGGATTTCCAGATCCGTCATAAGGCAAATAAACCGGTCAGAGCCTGGGGTCCTCCTGGAAGAGAGGTGTTTACCCAGGAGCAGGCAGCTTTGAGGTGTTCCCGACCCTGGGCCCTGCCCTTGGTGAAGGCATCAACCGGGGGCTGCGAGGGAGCCCCTGCCACCCTCATCTGTTTGCCCTGATGCCTCACCTGCCTTTTCTGGGCATACTGACATGGAAGCGCCGGTTTGGTGCTCAGGGCCTGTCCATACAGTCTTGCTTGGCCGGTTCCAGCTATAGAGAGCTCATGGGAAATCTTTCCAGTTGGGTGGGGTCAACTCTTCTTGTGAGAAGGTTCTCATCTGGACTCTGGGGTAGCCTTTCTGTGCCTTTCACTCGCTGGCAAAGACTCCAAAGGGATGGCACTATGTCCATGAGGCCAAAGAAAAGACCTGAAGACAGTACATAGGCATTGGTGCTACTCAGGAAAACATGTACGAGGAAGGTGGTCCAGAGGCGGCGGCTGGACGGGAAGAAACTGCTCCCCTATGTAAAAGGCATACGGGTTAGAGAGCATTTTACACAAGGGTAGAGTGTTGGGTTGAGACTAGAAAGGGTAGGGTTTCCAGTGTGCAGGCGCTGTGTGAGAACACACTTATGAGGTCTGACAATTAAATTTACAAACTCATCCTAGAAAAAATGCAGTATACCTCAATGCTGAATATCACTATGGTCACCTTTGAAGTACTCCCCCTGGAAGCTGTGCCCCGGCCCCAGTGCCTAGTCCACTCGTTAAAGCAGTTTTTTGTTTGTTTATTTGTTTGTTTGTTTGAATTGGAGTCTCACTCTGTTGCCCAGGTTGGAGTGTAGTGGCATGCTTAGGGACACTGCAGCCTCCACCTGCTTGGCTCAGGTGATCCTTCTGCCTCAGCCTTTCAAGTAGCTGGAACCACAGGCGCACACCATCATGCCCTGCTAATTTTTTGATGTAGAGATGAGGTCTCGCTAAGTTGCCCAGACTGGTCTCGAACCCCTGGACTCAGGCAGTCCTCTCGCCTCTGCCTCCCAAAGTGCTGGGATTACAGACGTAAGCCACTGTGCCTAAATCGCAGTTTGCAACTCTTTTCCTGGAATGGCCGTCAGCGCTGTCATATTACCTTTGACGTCCTGAATGTCATCAAAACGTCTTCTTTTCAATGTTTCCTTTATCTTCAAGTAAAGAGCAGTCATTGGGGGCCAGATCAGGCAAGTAGAGCGGGTGTTCCAATACAGTTATTTGTACGTGTTGCCAATATAAGCGCTCCGTGGCAAGTTGTGAACTTAATCGTCAGACCTCGATGAATAGCATTGACAGCTTTTTCTGGGATGAATCGGGAACCTGACTGTTGGACCTCATCGACATATGTTACGTGCACACCAAATGGCTAATATTTCTCGGGGTGGGATTTTTAGTATTATAATAAACTAATAGGGGACTAGAGGTAACCAAAGGTTATGGGCATTGACCCAGGCCTGCCGGTCCGGTCTGAGCTAGCCTGGGGACCCGACTGACTGAAGGAAGCAAGAGGACGTTCACCGTCCGCAGCCACAAGATGTGCTGGGCAGGCATGGAGAGCACTTAAGCCACGGCCTCAGCTTGGCAGGCACGGCCCGGCAGGAGCCTGAGAGGAAGGGGACGTAGGGGGGGTGTTCCAAACAGCCCCTCCCCAGGCTCTGGCCCCCTGCTTGGGGCCATATCCAGGGCAGGCTCGTGCTGTCGCTGGGTGTGTGTCCTCCCACGGTTGGTCGTGTAACTGTTGCTGGAAGGGGAACACAGGGACACAGTCGCGGAGGCATCAGAGAGCACACTTTCAGGATTCTGACCACTCGGCCAACAGCCCCAGCCCCGGGCACGTTGCCATGGCAACTTCTGTAAAGCCACCCGGGTCTACTCACCCAAGAGTTGGCTCAGTGCCTCTGTGGTCAGTCCCTTAGCTTATCCCCAGGTGTCAGTCTGTTGCCCCAGTACTATCGGCAGGGCAGTACCAGGGCAGATAACCAGGGCAGGCCACAATCACACCAGCTTCTCTGGAGGAATGTTACCCCTAGAAGGGCCTTGAAAAAACCTTGTCTAAGCCCTGAATTTTACATCTGCAGCAAAGATGGCCCCGAGAACTGTCATGATTGGCCTGAGGTCACACAGCGATGAGGCTGCATGAGAACCAGAGGCCTTCTGTGTCAGTGCAGGGTGCCCCTTCTGCATCGCCATAGCTCCCTGGGTGTGGTTGCTAGGCAGGGAAGGGTGTTGATGCCTGGGGGAGCCCAACCCCGGGTGCTCTTGTGGTCCCAGCAATTAGGCTTTGTGTAGCGCTCATCCTAGAAGGTCCGAGTGCCCCACCCCAAGCTGGGCAGCCCGCCCTTCTGGAGCAGAGCTGCAGAACCAGATCCCTCCTGGCCCCTCACTCCTTCCACACCTTCTGTCCCTGTCCTCTTCACATAACACTGTCAGTTGCCAAGAGCATGGAAGCTCCCACCATCACGGCGCAGGGAAGTTTGGGATGATTGTAGTCTCGGAGCCGGTAACACCTGCAGTGTATCTGGCCTGGTGGTGGGAAGGGGTCGAGAAGCTTGCGCGGGCCCAGGCAGACATTCATGCCCTCTGAAGACACGCGCCCCCTGCTCAGGCTGTAACCTGGTAAGATCTGATTCCTCGCCAGCTCTCCCGTGTCTGCAGGGGAGAGTCATCCACATGGAAGCCACCGCGTTGGTCTGCTAGAGCTCAGCGCCACCCTGGGGGACAATCGGGAACACAGGAGTGGAGCGAATTGGTTGGAAGCCTGCACAGGCTCAAGCCAGCTCTCTGATCATTTTCAGAGAATTTTCCTACTTTTTTCGTTCCGTTTCGGCAGCAGTGAGAGGACTAGCCAGCAGCCCACGCTGCTCCAGTGTTGTCATTGCCAAGGATGAGGAGAAAGCTGCAGGGACTGTCCGTCCTCTTCCTTTGTTCCCTGGCCCCCTCGTCCTGCCTGCCGTCTGCCGTGGAAGTGACAGGAGAGAGCTCTGCTCTGCTGGGCCTCTCGGGAGTAGACAAAAGCTTCAGGAGAGCTAATTGGATTTTTTTCCATGTGAAATAGCTTTGTGCCTCGGTCTCCTGGTGAGCCGTAGCAATGTCTGAGTGTCCAGACTGTTTCTCAGGGTGAGCCTGGCCACATCAATGCTGTGTTTGATGTGTGTGATCAGAAACAGCATGTGTACCAGAGAGGGTGTTTTGACTCCCTGGTTCCTTCTGTTTTTCACCTCATCCCTCAGATTTTATAGGCCTGATGTTTTGTTTGTGTGTTTTCTTTTCTATTTGAGTCGGAGTCTCACTCTGTTGCCCAGACTGGAGTGCAGTGGCACAATCGCGGCCACCGCAGCCTCCGACCTGCTGGGCTCCGGCAATCCTTCTGCCTCAGCCTTCCAAGTAGCTGGAACTATAGGCGTGCACCGTCACATCTGGCTACTTTTTTAATTTATTGTAGAGACGAGGCCTCACCAAGTTGACCAGACTAGTCTCAAACCCCTGGTCTCAGGCAGTTCTCTTGCCTCGGCCTCCCAAAGTCCAGGGGTTACAGACTTGAGCCACTGCGCCTGGCCAGTTTCTTTTTTTTTTTTTGAAGTCAAGGTCTCACTCTGTCACTCAGATTTGGGAGCAGTGGCACAATCACAGTCACCACGGCCTCCACCTCCTGGGTTCAGGCGTTCTTTCCGCCTCAGCCTCCCAAGTAACTGGGACTACAGAAACGTGTCCCCATGCCTGGCTATTTTATTTCAGTTTATTTTAGTTCAGTTTATTTCAATACAGTTTAGTTCAGTTTAGTTTAGTTTATTGAGATGAGGTCTCATTATGTTGCCCAGGCCAATCTTGAACTCCTGGGCTCAAGCAATCTTCCCTCCTCAGCCTCCCCAAGTGCTGGGATTACAGGCATGAGCCACCATGCCCTGCTCATTCCGTATCTTGATCAGGGCACTGCCTACCTGGGTATGTTCGGTTTGTGAAAATTCATCAAGCCATATGCTTAGGATTCATTTGCTTTTCTGTATGAATGTTATAAGTATATAAAAAACTCAATTTTTTACAAACCCCAAAAGGGGCCGGGCACAGTGTCTCGATATCTGTAATCCCAGCACTTTGGGAGGCTGAGGCAAGAGGATTGCTTGAGCTCAGGAGTCTGAGGCCAGCCTACTAGGCAATGTAGTGAGACCTCTTCTCTACAAAAAAATTGAAAAATTAGCCGGGCATGGTAGTGCACATCTGTGGTTCCAGCCACTTGGAAGGCCGAGGCGGAAGGATCGCCTGAGCCCAGCAGGTCAAGACTACGGTGGCCATGATCATGCCGCTGCACTCCAGCTGGGGCAACAGAGTGAGACTCTGACTCCCAAATAAAAGCAAAAACAACAACACAAAGGGATGGTAGTTTTTCTAAACCGCATTTAGCCAATGACTGCTAATTCTAACTCTCAGTCTGAAGCTTCTCAGCTACGGCCTCCTGCTGATCCACATACGGGCTCTTTGTCCTGGAAATGGGAACACAGAAGCTTGTCTCTCCCCGGTGTCCAAGCACAGAACCCAGGGTTGGGCATTCTGAGGGGAGAGCCATGTTCCTGGTCTGTCCCTGTCTCAGCCTCCCCCACCCCATCTCCCACCCCAGGGTCCTCACCCACAGTGGGTGCTGCAATGGCATCCCGGGCCCTCTCGTCTCCTCTCCAGAACATCGTGGCTGTGGGTGCAGGGTTCTGTGACGGCCTCCGCTGCGGGGATAACACCAAAGCCGCGGTCATCCGCCTGGGGCTCATGGAGATGATCGCCTTTGCCAGGATCTTCTGCAAGGGCCAGGTGTCCACGGCCACCTTCCTGGAGAGCTGCGGGGTGGCCGACCTGATCACCACCTGCTACGGAGGGCGGAACCGCAGGGTGGCTGAGGCCTTCGCCAGGACCGGGAA